ATAAAAAAAAAGATAATTCTACAGAAAATAAGCTTAAGCCTGATGAAAAAAAAATTAAAAAATAAATTATTTGCCGAATTGAGATATTTAATGCATATTGATGATATAGATATTGCTGAGCAAGCATTAGTTATATTTTTAGAAAAGTAGAAATTAGCAACAACATTCATTACCTATTTTAAATCTCAATAGTTAAATGAACTAGATAATCTTTATAGTATAGATAAAACTATGTAGATGAAAGCATATAGAACTAAAATCCCAAATACCAAAATAGATACTACCAATATGCTTGAATCATAGTATAAATACTTAAAGTATGATAATTTTGAAGATAAACATAACAGACGTACTGATATCTTAATATATGAGCTCTATGTAATAATAGATGGAGATATACAGTATCAACAATGTCTTGCAAATATTCGAGCAAGACGAATGATGCTAGCAGAAAGAGAAGTTCGCCAAAGAAAAATTAAAGCACAAGTATTAGCAAATACAGTCTTAGAAGTTAATATTGATGAATGCTACTGGACAGTAGCATCAGAAACAAAACAGAATATAAGATACTCTATAGAAAGAAACTTAAAATATAACTATTTAGAACAATAGTTTTCATGTACTTGTGTAGATTTTAAAATGTGTCATCTTCCTTGTAAACACATCTATGCTGTCATTTTTCATTGTTTTTCTCTATTTAAAAATTCTGAATCTAATTGCTAGCAGCAACAAGAAAAACAGCAACAATCTACTATTGAAGAACTTCGTTATTATATTCAAAAAATAATACAAAATCTCAAAGATCTGGATATTAATCGATTACAAATTGTTCATAACTAGATCTCCTGGGTTCTTAAAGATATTTGCAGAATGGATAGATCATTCCAAGTAGAAAATTGAGTAGATGAAAGTCAGAATATAAAACTCCCACCATATGTGAATATTAAAAAATAACGAGATAATTTTATAAACATTATGATTAGTTATATTAAATTTTGAATTATTTAATGACAAAAAAGAAAGATAAACCTCTTTGATGCATATTAAATATTAAATAATCATATACAGTATAAGTGCTTTACTGTAATCATATCAAAACTATGCATATTATTTAAGTAATTTAATATTATATTTTGTAATAACTATCTTGTGATAGTAATTAATGTTGTCTATAAATTAAAAGAAATTAAACAGTTTTTTAAATAAGTAAAAAAAATTACATATCTTATTTAATCACTTACTAAATTTTTTATGTAATAGCGGAAGACTTCTAAACTTACTTTTAATTATAGTTTTCTGCTAAATATATGTTTTTTAGAATTTATTTTACAGTTACTTTACGATTATTTCAGAAATTATAAGCACTGTCATTGATATCAAAAATAATCTGCAAACACGTATGAATTCAGATTCTGTAACACAGACCTTATTAATAAATTCAAAAGTTTTTTACTTCTACGTAGTGATGATTTCTTAATTACTTGATCAAATTTAGTATAATTTTTTTTATACACATTAATTTTATAGTTATGTAGAAATAAAAAAATTTTTAAACTTTTTTAAGGGCATCTAAACTTTAAACAAAGATAACTCAATGCTTACTTGATCAAATTCAATCTATTCTTTTTTATTCTAATTCTGTAAGATTATAGAGTTAAAATAAAAAAAAAAATAGATCAAATTTGACTGAGTAAGTATTGAGTAATATTCATTCAAAGTTTGGGTAAAGAAGCTGTGGCCAAATTTTTTTTAAACTTTAATGAATATTTCTCACAACCTGCTATTCAAATTCGATCAAATTTTTTTATTTTAATTTTATGAAAAATAAAAAAAAAGCCATCAAATTAGAATAGTTAGTTGTCGAATAATTTTTATTTAAAGTTCAAAGTAGATAAAATTAGATTTTTTTTTCCTAGATTTTAAGTTTTTTAAAACTTTTAGCGATGTTTTCTTGATAACTACTGAACATAATACAATAAGCTTTTTTTATTTTAATTCTACATAGCTATAAAATTAAAATAAAAAAATTTTTACTGAAATTGATTATGTAGTTATTGAGAAATCATCGCTAGAAGTTTTAAAAAAAAATCAAATTTATTATTAGAATCTGTGCAATGTGATGTTGATCAATTCTATATAAGGTTTGTATTATATGCGCAAATAAATATACACATACCTACGAACAATTTGAATAATTTTTAGTCAATGAATCTATTAGAATAGCCTTAGCTAGTTATCTTATAAAAGAATCTAGCACCTCTAACCAGACACAGATACCAACTTATACTACTCCTATTAAGTGTAATATTAAACTTAGAAACAGACTCTACTATGTTATTGTCGATAGTAGAGCTGCAATTAGTATGATCTCACACAAAGTTGTTAAAGAACTTGGCCTGAAAATTGAAGCCCCTCTATAAGCTTAATTGTATTAGTCATTGGACCCTCTACTAGATCTCTAGAAATTATTAAAATCTTCTAGTAGAAATTAAAGAAGTTACTATCCCTCTTGATATAAAAGTAATAGATGCTATATCTTATTTCTTGCTTTTAGGAAATGACTAGTTACAGAAAGTTAAAGCCAGTTATAATTGGAAAAATAAGGCCTATACCATTAAATAAAATAAAAAGAAGATTCATGTTCTAATTATCTATAAACAACATCAACCCTTGCTAGCTCAACCAACAGTAACTGATAAAAGAGACCTAGTCTAATTTGAACAGGAATATCTTGTTTCTAAAGAAGCTTATACTGTTGACTCTGTAGTAACCACTGATGAAAACCCATGAATTATTCAAACTTTCAAGACTAGACGTAGAGCCCAACAAGCATCTTCTACCAGAATATGCTGAGGATGCAATTCTACAACTCATTTCTTTACCAACTACCCTTACAACCAATGTTATCGCTATTATCAATATAGATATATCTCTGCCCATTGCTCTTATCAAGTTTCTAAATGAGACTTTTGCAAAACCTGTACTCAACCAGGATATTTCTATAGAAACTGCTCTCAGAATAAATGTCATCAATATGATCAATATGTTCATATTAGTATTGATTGCTCTCTTGCCTCTATTAAGTTAGACAATCAAAGATACAGATGTGGATATTTTTTTGATGAAGTGAATAAACAATGGCAAAGCTACTATTCTTGCAAAAGAGTTAACCATTGTTGTCAATACAAAGTACTTCCGA